ATGTTACTTTTATATAGTTTGAGATCAAAGCATCATTAATGATAGGTTGAGTTTCCTTTTGACCAAATCAGCCATAACATTTATCAGTATGTTCTACTCTTTAAATAGCTAGCACTTTCCTAGTCCACCAGTTGGGCAATAAAATGCTCCAAAACATAATGTCTGGTCTGTCTCTTGAAAATGACTTCTCATATCTATTTTACAAAAGCAGCATTCATATGAATAAATCAAGAATATGATTATTGATGAAGAATGAGCTTCTAGGGGAGTGAGGTATAGGACACACTGTTATGTGAAAAAGAAAAAACCCTTCAAGTGAGAAAGAGGAAGATACTAGAAGAGATACATGTGTCTGCTCATTTGTGCAAAAGAAATAAAAGAATGAGAAATCAGAAACTAAATTGGTTACCTACAAGGCAGGGATAGGAAAGATATAGAAAGAAGTAGGGAGATGGGGAACAGGTTACTCGGGATGAGGTGGGAATGATACTTCTCTGAGTAAACTTTTATGTGTAGCTTTGATGCCCAGAGCTATGATACTGCTCACATATCCCATAATTAAAATCACCCAGAATGAGGAGGAATTCAAAATGGAACACAAGCATTGAAAAATGAACCTAACTGAATTACAAAATAATATAATCACATAGAAAGGGGTGAGGAAGAAAAGAAGAAACCTAAGTAACTTGAGAAACAAAGGGAACGATGTACAAATAATATAGTAAATAAATTTGTTTATTACAGGGATATGGGTTAGAGATTCTGAAACCACTTTACATTAGGGTTAAACAAATAAGTTAAATACATCATCAGTAATGACAACCAGGTTTCTCATTGTCAGAAAGAAGTAATAAATAAAAAAAGAGACAAAGAGCTAAAATGAGCCCTGTAGTGCTGGACTGGAATTAAAGACATCAATATGAACTCATGGTTTTAGTACATACACCAATAGATAAAGAAAAATACAGATATACATGTAAGTTGGTATATACTTATTTCCCTTAGCTCTGTCCACTGAGAGGGCCTGGGTATAGTAATAAATACCCCAGTAGAAATGAACATATTAAGTACTCAGATCTTGGTTTCTAAATGCCGTTCTCTGGGACTAGGCACCCATAGCTCAATGGTTAGAGCACTAGCCCTGTGCACCAGGGGTGGCAGGTTTGAACTGGGCCCAGCCCTGCTAAACAAACAAAACAAAAAATACCATTCTCCAATAAGAGAAACAAGGGCACCTTAGAAAAAGGATAGACTCTAGCCCCAGGGCAAAGAAAGGTACAAAATGAGCTTGGAATATTTTGTAGGACCAGAAAGTGAGGATATAGTCAAAATAGGATAAAGGCAAGTCAAAAATACACAGAAGAGCCAATGTTAATGAGTTTCTTGCCAAATCTGGGACAATTTGAATGACAAAACAACAGGCCTAGTAAGAATGTGAGCCTTTAAAAAAATGAGAACCCATAAGCCTATCCCAGTAATAAATAGGTAAATATATTAATAGGGGAGAAGGGAGAGTACTTGCTTACAGTAGAATGAGTAACAGAATAAATGTGGAGGGAAGCATGGTGTTGAAATATCATCAGTTTGCAGTCATCATAGTAAAGACTGGTTTAGGCAAGAATCTTCCCAGGATACTAAATATAAGAGGAAATGTTAATCAGGAGGAGTATATTTGCATGGTCTCAAATTATCTCCCCAATTGCTTACTAGTTGAAAATACAGTAACAAGACAGTGGGGAACTCAGATAGCATCTTGACCAAGTGATCAAAATTAGTGAGACACAAATGAACATTATAAGCCTAAGCTGATACCCTGAGGAGGACACAGCATCACTTATCACCAGTAGCATTCTGGTCAGGAATGTATGTCTTAAAGCTTATAAGAAAACATTAGACAAAACCAAACTCAGTGAAAAAAGAGATCAGGGAACTATGTTCTTCAAAAATGTCACTATCATGTAAGAAAAAGAAAGGCTATAGAAATAGTCAATATTCAAGGAGACTAAAGAGACATGACAACTAAATGTAATACCTCATCCTAAACTTTATCATGTAGTGGAACAAAAAGGAAGGGCTATAAAGTACATTATTGGGTAAATGTATTATACAAAATTAGAATATGCTATCAATATTAAATTAACTAAAGTTGAAAATTATACTGTGATTATATAAGAAAATGTCCCTAATTCTTAGGAACACTGCAGTAGTTGGGGATAAAGGACCATGATATATGCAGTTTACTCTCAAGAGACTCAAAAGAAATCATGTGTACGTGCATGTGTGTGTGTAAAAGAAAGAGAATGAAAATGATGGAGCATGCTGCGTAAAATATTAATCATGGATGGAAGAGGTAGAAGGTATATAGATAGTATTCCTTATACTATGCTTATTCTTTCAACTTTCTGATAAGTTTGAAATTATTGCCAGATCAAAGGTTAAAAATTAAAGAATTATTAGTGATCATTAGCAATGATTGAGTGTTCTACTGCTTGGGGGAGAATTTATCATGATCTAACAAGGCTATTGTATATGGCAGAACAGGAGGGCCTGATTCACTTTTAAAAGCCATAGTGTGGAAATCAAAGTACTATATGGATAAATAGGCCTGCTGGTTTTCTTGGCCTCTTACTCTAACACTTGTTCTCTGGATTCTGCAGAACTGTGCCTCCAGGCTGCTAATTTAGTTAAGTACCCTCAGATTCCACTCCATGTTCATCTCTCTCAGAGGAGGCCATGGACCTAGTATAGGCAACCCTAAAAGATTGCAAAGCGACACAAACCCAGAGTATAATCTATAGGCTCTATAATGGTTGAACTTAATAGAGTTGCCTAAAGTGGAATAAGTTTAGGTAGCTTGTCATTCTTGAGATTTTAGGTTAAGCACTGGCATTGAAAGACTGGCAAGAAGATAAAAATGGAAATCCTTAGAGCTAAGCCATGAATTTCCTTCCAAGTGTCATTAACCAAAAAGACATGGCATTCTTAGCAATAAATCAGAAAATGGTGTTACTATTAACTCCATCACAGAAATTACCAATTCATAAAAAGATAAGGTAGTTTTATTACCTGCATGTATATGTCCACATCTGAAAAGTCGTATGGAAAATAGCTTTAAGAAATCCAATTTTTCCAGTTTTTCCAGTTAGACTTTTCGGTATTCATTCACTTTTTCTTTATTAGCTCCCTACTAGGCATATAGTAAAAGGCTCTACATGGTTTCCTTTAAAATTTGTGTATAAAAATTTTAATTGAGAAAATGGTATCCTTTTTCACACACTTTCTCCAGGTATTTTAAGGAAAAGCATAATCAAATCTGCTGGAAGAATTTTAGAAACAAGAGGCACTCCAAGTGGTGATCCCTAGGAGCAAGTAAAGAGGAGCTAACCTGAGCTGTCTTAGGAGAGAAATACCAAAGTTAGAATAGAAAGTCAGGGGAAATTCTCTTCTGAAGGAGAACTCTGTGAGGCCTTGGGTCAGCAGAAGGAAGTGGTAGAAGTCTTTTTACTTGCCAGTGAAAATAGGCATGACCTAAAAGGGGACTGACAGGGCCCTTTGGGACCATGCTGACCGAGACCAACCAGCATGTCTGTCTCTCTCCCTCCCTCCTTCTCTCGTCTTTAACATCCCTTTCTTGGCTGAGGGTGTAGGAGCTTTTGTCAGTTTTAGGTTTGGGACTTTAGCCAGTTCCCATCCCACTTTAGGAAGTTCCTGACAGCTTTTCTAAGGGAATGGATGAAGCAGAGACTTGGGCAGGCAGGGCAAGGCCCACACTGCCTGTTAGCCCAGCTGCCTAGTGAAGACAGGCATGGGAAGAAGTGTGCCTGAGCCCAGGCCTTGGCATTGGACATGACTGATACTCTTAGCCTCTCAGCCTTTGTTCTTCACAGAGTGACAGCCATCTACTTTTCCCCACCAGCAGTTATCTCTTGGAAAGAGAGAGGGAATGTCTTGAGTACAAAAATACTTACATGAGGGCTCTCCTGTGCAGTGATGTGGATCTAGGACTCTGTCCCCTCTAGAAGGTTATAGAAGGGAACTAACACCTTGCCTTTGAAATGCAGTGATTTTGTTTGTTTATTTATTTGTTTTCCTTTACAGTTTATGAATATTTGTTAGAGTGGTGCTTGCAGCTAAAACTGGAAGGGAAGGAAAGCCTTTAACAAAAATGATTTACTTTCTCCAAGACAAAATCTCTCCCAGTGTCATAACTCAGTGGACACTTAGAACACTATTTTTCTTCTCGCACATATACAGTTCTTGGAAGTTCTCTATAATATTCATAACCCCAATTGCAGATTGTGTGTCCCTAATCATGGACTAATGCTGTTTTTCAGCCCTCATCTGCCTTGGCCCTGGTTTCCATCTGCTCACCTGTATTTGCATAGGTATAACGCATACTGGCTCTTACAAATGATCCACTTGTGCCTTGGTTCAGTGTTTCTGCATGTCCTATTTGTATACAGGCGTGTTTGTGTATATTTTGTATTAACTGAGTCACTTGGTCAAAGTCAGTGCAGCAAGTCTCACACTGGTACTTGAACCGGCATCTTTTAACTTCAAAGTTCAAACAATTGTATATGTGGCACTAGCTTTATTTATTTATTGTTGGATAGTGAGCTCCTAGGATGGTGCTTGGCATGTGGAAGGAATTTAACAAATACTTAATAAATGAATAAGTGAGTTATTATTCTGATAATCCTGTGTTTTGATTCAGTCCAATGTTTGTTTCTTCACAGGGCAGCCTCCAAGAGCTAATTGCTGGCATGCAGTCTTAGCAGTGTTACTGTGCTGCTTATGGCAGAGATGACTCTGCCTTCTGATGTTTACTCATTTATCTTCTTGGTTGAATTACAATCTGTCGCCATTTTTTCTCTTATTACATTTTGACTTTTATTTGTCAAATATATTAGCTGATAGTGAAGGATGATGAGGTTTCTGTAATCCTTGCTTGTCTTATCTGTGTGATTAATCCCTGTGGTGGTGGTTTGAATATTTTACAGCTTTTGGATCTTTTCATCCAGTGGGATTGGTCAACCTACCTTGCCGACTATGGTCAGCCAACCTGCAAGTACCTCCGGGTAAACCCAGTGACAGCTCTGACTCTGCTTGAGAAGTGAGTACCTAGTCCGGTTGTCTGTGTTGGGTGTTGGGGAGATGGAGATTGGGGGTTGGTATAGAAGGTTAATTTTTCCACTGCCAATACCTTGAAAGACAGTCTTGTTCTTGAAGTTGTTGTAGGTGCTATCAGGTGTCTCAATCATTGCACTTGGAAGGCCAGTCTTTCTCTTGTAACCTCTTAATTCCTGAGCTAGGCCAAATATAAGTCAGAAGTGGATTCTGATATTATCTCATAGTTTAATGGGGCAAAGTGTCTTTAACTAGAGATGGCCAGAGAGTAAAGGAAGATGGATTAGTTTGGGACTTAGTTTGGGGTTTGGGTCAATATGGTTAACAGAGTAAGGCTGGCCCTAGTCATCTGGGATATGATGATGGATAGAGCAGCCCCACAGGACAGGTGGCTTCTCTGGTTCTTAGCAGGAAAGCTCTGGGAATTATTGAAACCTTCACCTATCCCCAACTCCTGCCCCTACCAGATTGAACTTTATTTTGATGACTATCCCAATAAAGCTATATTAGATAAGGTGTCTAATTCTTGCCTTAAGCAAACACTAGCCAACAAAAGTGCCCTGTTACAGAGCTAAGCCTCTATGAAACAGAGATGCTATCACTGAAATTGGGTTAGCCAGCTCTAGAATATCTCAGGGCTAACTAATATCACCTAGTAGCTGGAAACTGCTATGCATTTCAGCCTGGTGAGGACTTTTGCTAATTTAGTTGAGAGCTGGTGGGCCAAAGAATAGGACCTATGTAAAAAAGGAAGTTTTCTCTTGCAGTCAGAAAAAATAGTTAACCCCCAGCTGCATTTGGGCAGTGTAGAATGTCTACATTTATGGACAGTCATGCATGTCTCAACTCCTAGGAAGGCAAAGCCCAGAGTCTATGTCAGAGTAGAGCCTTAAGCAGAAAGAAAGGCCAAGATATATCCTTCTTTCTATATGATACGATAGTCAGAGAGAAGATGAAGAGATGGAGGGTAGGGGCAAGGACAGATGCAAGAGTTTGGAGCCAAGCAACTATAAAAACTCAGAGTACAGTTTTCTCCTGACCATTTCAGGGATTGATGTTTCCATTTTAACTTTGTTTCCCATGGTTCTCTCCCATTGACCTTCCTCCCTAGGATATCTAGAGAGTAAGTATGTTATTCACTTGGGCCTTTTCCATCACTTTGAGGCAAGTCCTTCTGGTTTCCTCATTGACACTAATGACTACACTAAAATCCCTAGCCTGTTGAGTTGTCTCCATCCTGACATACTAATCTACTAAACCAGCCTGGTGCCAACTGGCTGGCTGCCTTCTCTATCCTTGGTTCTTAGAGTGACCCTTGCCTTACCAATTCCTTTGGGGCTGGGAGTAGTGGCAAGGATTTTCCCCTATCAGTATTAGGTAGAAGATTGTTCCCACTCAACTTCTAGCACACTTTGTTAGTTCAGTGCCTGAAATTTAGCCCCAACAAAAGGGAGCTCTTTAGCAGTCTCTCTTCCCTTCCGGTGGCAGTGAGGCCCATGCTTTAAGATCTAGAACTCATATCTCCTGTAGAAGACCTTTTATTAGAGGCATAGCCTAATCCCAGAGTTCTCAGTACCCAGATGAAAAGGAGAAACATTTTGACCTTTGAATTGATGTTTAACTGGTCATGTGCATTATGTGACCAAATGGGCTCTCGGCTTCCCTTCAGCTAGTTAACTTCTTTCAGCAGTTCTTTAATCCTCTGTTCCTGAGAATCTCCAGCAGGAAGTACTGGTTCATCTATTTCCTGTGGGTCAACAGTAAACTGAACTAATCAGCCTCTCTCTACTATTTTGGAGACCTAGCCAGTAAAAAAGCTATGTGCATACCCCTAGCAGTCAAAAGGGCTTATAAGTCTCCTTCCAAACACAGGGCAAAGGCCACCCAGATAACTAAAATTTGCATCTCCCAGCCTCACAGGAATCAATTCCTTACCTGCCCCATTCCTGCTTTCCCCACAGCCAGCTGTACTGTCAGAGCTTAACAGTCTCTCCTTTTCGACCTGGCTCTTCTTTGCTGGGTAAGAGATAGAAACCTGCTGAAGACATTCAGGAAAAAGAAGCCACCTCTGTGTCATTGAGAGGTGGCCATCCCTAAAGTAGAACAAGCTCTTAGGCTTAGAGAATAGGATGAGAGGTGGGAGGACTCTCATAGTTTTGGAGCATTCCTAAATACAGACCAGCAAGCTGCCCTCAGCCAGGGAGGACTGAGCTTGTCTTTGCAGAGCCCGATTCCGAATCCAGGCCTTAAAGGCTGAGAAATCTTTGCCTGCAGAGTGCAGAGACTATCCTGTGTATTACAGAGACCTCCCTGTGGGAGCTGAAAGCCAGCTGGCTGCCTGGCCCTTGGGTGTTTTGAGGAGTCATGAAATTAATGATCACATAGGCCATTAAACCGAATGTCCTAAGGATATAGGAAGTGATTTTCTTAACTTTTTGTTTATTTTGTATCATTGTTGTTTAGATCTATAGTATACCTAGCAAAAGAAAGGGACTCCTCCTCTGGGACTGTCTGAAACCAGGCCAGGTCCACAAACATACTTGTGTAATTATAATATATTTTTTATATATATGTGTGTGTGTATATATATACATATATATATATCATATAATAATTCTTTAGTATGTAAGGGACCAAATACAGTAATTATCAGAGCTTTGAGGACCATTGTACTTTCTTTCCAACGAGCCCAATCCCCTCTCCTCCTTTCTGTCAAGCATAGGCCTCCACATGTGGGTGTTTGTACCTTATATTCAGCGTTATGAGTTTGCTAAATGAGTAATCCAGCCTCAAGTCCCTTGAGAACCTTCATTAATTTGTGGCTATCACTGTCAGCCAGAGCCATACAGCTATGGTGCTCATCAGAACATCCTTGCCACATATAATGCCTTTATGTTATTAGGCATTCCATATATATGTAATGAGTGTGTGTGTGTGTATGTATATGATGTGTGTATATAGAATGCCTAATACACACACACACACATATACACATCATGTATTTATGTCATATATACACATGTAAATGCCCATATGGGACCTCTGGCCTTTTAGCTCACTGGCCTCTAATCTGTCCCTCTGCAAAAAGCCATCCATAGGAACACGAAAAGCTCAGGCTTGGCTGAAGGCCCTGGGTAGGCTCCTTCCCTCCACTCTGCTAATCTATCTCTCTGCAGCACATGGAGCAATGAAGTCAACAGCTGGCCCAGCTCCTAGGGAATGGTAGTAAAGACTGGCCCACCCCTATTCTAGGGAGAGATTGATCTGGGCACTTTTCATTCTCTAATGCTAGAACTAGCTGTGGGCTGTGGGTCTGGTGTGCAAAGGCCAAGGCCAAAGTTAATGGTCCAACAAATGTCAGGGGTTGTGGGCCCTCTGCAGGGAATAACATATTCCTAGCTTAGTCCAACCTGGGAATTCTGTGACAATCTCACCCTAGTCTTGACTTTCTTTTGTCTATGCTTCCTGGTTAGAGCTCTCCATTTGACAGAACCAATGGCCAGAACTTCCCATGGTTTGTGCTCTAGGAATATGCCATCTGTACATGACCCAAAGGTCACACACACCATGAATTTATGTCATATAGACAGAAATAGACTTCCATTAAGAACTCAGGGGCTTCTCTTGGATGAAGCCCTGCTTATCAGGTGAGAGGATGGCCCAGCCATCTGCTTTCCTCAGCACCATACCCTCCTAGCCACCTCACTGGCTATCATCCCTTAATCTGAGACAAAGGAAGAAATCAGTCAAGCCCTTGCTTTGTTGGGGATGGGATAGAGTAAGTTGCTATAGTGAGATTTAGAAATTCACAGTGGCTTTCAGTTATTCATGTCTCTTGCAATTGGTGGTTAAGAGCATTTTTCCTGCTTTACCTTTCAAGTAACCATCTCTAGGATCCCTGTAGGATGTAGTAGGCTCATGAGGTGATGAAGGAATCCTAGACATTCTATAAGAGCCTGTTCACCAGGAGGGCTTAACACATGCCTGACAGCTGTAATGGGTACATACCTGTGAAGAGGAGGGAATGAGTTAGGTAGGTAAGCTATAAGAGCTAAGGAGGTTGGTCCCTCTAAAGCTGGCTCTTGACTATTTTCCAAAAGTAGCTGAAGTTGAGAAGGCTGTGGGTATGCGTATCAGTAGGTGAGTGTGCACCTGACGGTGGAGATAGTCTGGCCTCTCTCATCTGTCTGGGTAGTGGTTAATATGCACAGTGCCACCTTACCTCCTACAAGTTCTCCTTCCACCATTTTCTCCTCAAACATTTTGCCCTCTTTCTTTCCTTTTCTGTTTAGGATGAAGGATACTAGCCGCAAGAACAACATGTTTGCACAGTTTCGGAAAAATGAGCGAGATAAGCAGAAACTGATTGACACTGTGGCCAAGCAGCTCCGAGGACTCATCAGCAGCCACCACTCATGAAGGCTGGCCCTGGGCCCACAGAGGCTGCCTGCTACAGCCCCCTAGTCTGGGAGCCAGCCCTGGTTGACGCTGCATTTGTGCATTTTTCTTCAAAAGAGCATATGTATTTTTTTATTAACCCCTGTACAGTATTCACATAACATTTCCCTATAGTAAAGGAGGCATAGGAATAAGCAAGTACATGAGATACATGAGATGTTGCTAGGCTGGGACTCAGGGGAGGTTATTACTACACTACCCGTATTATCCTAGAGATGATAGAATCGTCAATCCCAGTGTGATGAACCACCTTTTATCCATGGCTCTAAAGCTTAGGTCCAGAGCTTAGGAACTACACAAAGTGGGTGCTTGGCACTGGGAGGTAAGGTAAGTAAGCAAAACGACAATAAAGTATGTCCTATTCACTCTTGGTGCCCCATTCACCATATAGATGAAACTTATTCTTCTTGATGAAAGGAAAGGGCCTGGCAAACATTAAGCAAGAAGAGCTTTAGTACACTAAAGACCAGCACACAGTTCTGGAGGTTCATTCAGACTGAATGACTCTTGTTGGCTGATGAACAAGCATGACATGTGTCAAGACAATGACTTCCCTCTAGTCTCCCAAGAATGGAAGTTTCTTTAGCCTAGATCTGACCCAAGGCTTTTACTGCTAATTTTTCTGGGGCAGGACAAATCAGTAGGCAGCAGTAATAATTGAACCCCATGATTCACTACAGGGTACCCTTACCTAGGAATGTTGAGTCTGAGCCCAAGGAATTTTTCTTGGTCTTGAAAGCCAGTTTGAGTGGAATCTCCGTTCATCTTATTTCCTTCTTTCACAGTCAGAGCACTTAATTCAGGGCATAGGCCAGCAGTT